AAGATTCGTCTAAAATAAAGGGATTCTTCTGTTTCTTGGGCAGGTTTTTGATAATTTTAATCCTCTCTAAAGAATTAAGACCTCGAATAAGTATGTATAAAACGAAATATACATATAAGTTGTAGATTAATTAGAATAGTTCGATAGAAAATATATACAAGATTAGATGTGAATAATGATTGCTATTTTTTTTTTCGTATTTGTGATTCATTCAGTCCATGCCTACTTTTCAATGATCTAAAAGTTAAAAATTACAAGTCTGTTATATTCCTCCACTGCTTTACAAGAGTTAAGTGCAATGGCGGATTCAGAAGAATAGGTCACTCACCCTCTCTAATGAAAAAGATAATTTTAATTTAGGGAATAATTTTATTTGTGATTTTTCAATAATTATATGTATCAAATATTGATCGTTATTCATCCCTAAAGGTGATTATCCGCTAGGTGTGCCAGGAAACAATGGTTGAGTATATTGAGGCTTTGCTCGCTTTAACATTCGACACCGCATAGTGGAGCAGAACGTAAGGTTTCTTGGACATCGACTCTAACTTACTAGGAAATTGTAGTATACTGCTCAAATCTTGTTTATATTTTTGAGGGCATTGAATTTGAACTCAAGCCATTTAGTCGACCACATACATGCATTAAAAGCCAAATAATAAAATATTAATTTGTATGTTATCTTGATAATATTTTTTCTGTTTAAAAGATACGTGAGTACATATGAAATATTAATTTACTACCACTATAATCTTCTAGTATAAAATAATCATGGATCATTTATACAATTAAATTTTTTGTTCAGTGATTTCTTCTTGACTTTGATGAAGAAACTTAAGCGTGTGAATCGGCATTAAAGGTTTTCATATTAAAATCTAACTTGTGGTAACAATCATCTTATTTGCTATTTCAATATTCAAAATTTAAATAAGCGATAGTGTAACAGAACAAATTATACCATATTCACATCTTTAAAACCTGGTTGGAAGTTTATTTAATTTTAGTTTTGTGTAGTTATTTACCGGAATATTTGTACGATCAGCATGGAGAGCCTTTAGTTTGTCGTAGTCATATTGATTATGAACTTAAGCCTAAGAAGCCTTAAAATAAAGAAGCTTACAAGATTTGTACTCATAAAACGAATTTTCTTTAGTGAAATAAATCGTGAAGAAAGGAAAGTAGTTCTTCATTTTAGAACATCGATTTATTTCTATTTTTCTCTTAAACCTTGTAATAATTATTAGGCTTCCTTATAGATTTATAAAATCGAGTTTTGTAAAGTAAGTATTACACAATGCTGCAAGTCCACATTTCATAAATGTTTTTTATTAATCGGTACATAATGCTTACCACTATTGAATAATGAAAGCTAGAGAAAAGAGGTATTTTATTTTATAGGCCCTTATTTTAGCATCTTGAAATTCTCCATTAACTGCATATTTAGATTTCAAGGGCCAACAGATAAAACTCATTACACCCAACTGACTAACAAACTAAAATCAGAAATTAGAAAATACACAATTCAAAATTTACTAAATTTTACTGAAAAACTTACACCTACTGACAAATCACTGTGGACAACGACTAAACGCCTCCTGAAATTTAAAGACTTTAATCACCCACTTCATACTGAAGCTCAAACTTGGTCCAAATCTCATGAAGAAAAATCCCTCATCACCTCTTCAAAACTTTTAATCCACATCCTGATATCCTTAATCCAAATCAGCTTGAATGTATTGAAACAGAACTGGATATTCCACTTCAAATGACTCCTCCTCCTAAAGCATTTCATCCTTCAGAAATATCCAAATTTATTCACAGATTACCCTCCCGCAAAGCTCCTGGCCACGACCTAATCACTTCCCATATTCTTAAACTACTTCCTCGAAAAGCCATTCTATTCCTAACTTACATTTATAATGCCGTACTCCGTTCCACATATTTTCCTGACCCTTGGAAACTATCTATAGTCAAAATGATACATAAACCCAAAAAGCCACCAGAATACCCATCCTCTTACCGTCCTATCTCTCTTTTACCCATCATGGGCAAAATCCTGGAGAAGCTCATCTTAAAACGCCAGTATCCCATCCTAGATTCTAACCACATAATCTCTGATCACCAATTTGGATTCCGCACATCCCATTCCACTATCCAGCAATGTCATCGTGTGGTAGACGTTGTCTCCTCTGCATTGGAGCGCGGAATGTATTGCACTGGAGTTTTTCTCGACGTTGAACAGGCGTTTGATCGAGTCTGGTATCCGGGATTGCTTTACAAACTCCGTAAATTCCTTCCTCCTACATATTTTCTTATCATCAGTTCCTATCTTACTGATAGACACTTCAAAGTAAATCACAATAATACCTATTCATCCCTCTTTTCTCAATCTGCCGGTGTTCCTCAAGGTAGTATCCTTGGTCCTATCCTTTACACAGTTTATACAGCTGATATCCCAACCCATCCTAACACTGATATCACTACGTATGCTGATGACACATGTATCCTGTCAGTTAATAATGATCCAACAATTGCATCGCAAACTCTTCAATCACACATCACAAACCTTGAAGAATGGTGTCAAAACTGGAGGATTAAAATAAATTCCAATAAATCCCATCAAATCACCTTTACCCTTCGTCGTAAACCAATGACTTGCTGCCCTATAGTATCCTTTAATAACACCCCACTTATCCCTGTAGAACAAATCCGATACCTTGGACTCCAGCTGGACAAACGTCTCACTTGGAATCCTCATACAAGACTGAAACGACAAGAAACCGCTCGACGTTTCCGACTACTCCAACACTTACTAGACAAACGCTCTAAACTTCCCATTAATTACAAACGACTCATATACATGACTATAATAAGACCTATTTGGACTTATGGAGTTGAACTGTGGGGCTCCACTAAACCATCAAATTCCTCTCGTATCCAATCTTTACAATCCAAAATCCTTCGTAAAATCCTCAATGCTCCTTACTTTGTCACAAATAAAATAATCCATAAAGACCTCAATGTTCCATATGTTTCCGATTTGGCCGAATCCAGATACCTATCCTTCCATAATAAACTTCATAACCATCCGAATCCTCTTGTTTCTAACCTTGCTTCCTCTTCGATTTCTGATAACCCTCCGAGGCGTCTGAAAAGAAGATGGCCTCGTGATCTCCTCATGTAGACAAATTATTAGAGTGCTACCAATGGGTAGTTTCTCAACAAGCGTGTTTCATGTTATTTTATTCCTCTGTACACATTTACTTGATGTATTCATACTAATACAGTTGTAAATATCACAATAAAAGTTAAAAAAAAAAAAAGATTTCAAGGGGGTTTATTAGTTCATTATTATTTTTTTTCATGTCCTCAATTTCTAAATAATAATTAGGTGACGGGGCTCATTATTTTAGATTTTTGAACTCAACTTTTGGTATTTTAAATTTCTCGCGGAGTTTTATCACTTTTCTCTTTGTATGGCTATTCCTCTCCTGTTGACAACTTTCCTTTAATTCCATTTTGAAACAACTGTAGTTGTTTTTCAATTGATTTGGTAATCATTGAAAATAATAAAGAAAATTGAAAACTAATAAATAATAATAACAATAGTCACCCAATAGGCAAAAAACTAGCCTCATGAACAGAAATTTAATTATTTAAGTAGAGCAGTCAGTGAAAGTTAGGTGATGTGCCTGCTGTTCCAGATTTTTCTTATTCAGGAAATAGATGTTGCAGATAACAGCTTTTATGTCTAGTTTTAAGAAAATATGTTTTTTGTTTAGTTCAGTGTACATTTTGTATGCTGTAGCGTTTGTTTATTTCAAAAAGCCACTCTACATTTTCAATGAAGTTAAAAATTGAAGTATATTTATTTGAATTTTTACCGTATTTATTGATACAAAAACACAGCAAGTAAAATGACTCAAACGCTTTTACGAAACAAATATAATCTGATTAACTGCGCAATATTCTGGTGGAAAATTCATTAAAGTACTAATATAAGTTTCTTAATTTTATAAAATACTAACAGAATAAAGATTGTTAGGACTCTTCAATTAAATTTTTAATTTTCAATTTGAAGAAATGCATGGTAAGCTAAAATGAGTTGTTTGTGATTTAGAGAATTACATCTGTATTTTTTCAAGACTCTCCTAATATTCAATCAGAACTCATTGTGTTCAGGATTGGATTTAGAGACTCAGACATACCATCCATTAGCGATACAAAAAAAAAAAAAAAAAAAAAATGTTCTCATTAGTATGTTTTATAAAATAGTTTTCAAATTATTAAAAATATAATTTAAAAAACTGTAATTGAAGTAATAAAAGGGAACATAATAATTATTTGTTGTGAATTATCAAATTTATGTTGACTTTGATGAATCAGTTAACTTCTATAACTCTTCTTGATTCGATGAATCCCTTATTAAAGAATCTCAAAACCAGAGATTTTTTTCTTTTTTTTTTTTGCTATTGCTTTCTACTTGTTTCAATTATTTTTTAAGATTACTATTTCATTTGAAATTAAAATCTTGTTTCTGAAAGGACTACTTTAATTTAAATAAAAACACGATGCTATTTAACTTGGTGTTAGTAAATGGCCAATTAATATAAGAAAATCAACAGTAGTAGAAAAAAAAATTATTAGTTAGTAAAAATTAAGAACTATAAAAAATTACAAATAATATTTCTTTATTGAAAAAAGAAAAAAAAATCAACAGATAAAAACATAAAAGTTAAAACCATATGAATGTATTATTTGTTTGTTAATGACCAAACTTTATTTTCTTCAAAACAAACAGATCTTAGGAATAATGACGTTTATTCTAAATTTTATAAGACTGGGTCAAAATGAAAAAATAGGCTATCAATGCTTATCTGTCTAATTGATGATTATGTTTTAGTTTGATTTTTGGTATGGCTTTATCTATCTGTCCTTGATTTTGCATAGTTTGCAATTTATTCACAAAATCAAAGTAGAGCACTTTTTTCAACCGTGAGATGAAGTATGACAGTAGGTACTTACCTTAGCTTACTCATATAGTAACGGATATTAATTATAATGAATATATATTAATTAATTATATAATACATTTTTTTTTCTGCTTGTGTATATTCAAATAAAAGTTTTAGAAGACTCCAATAAATACAAATATTGGTAAATTATGAAAGATTTGCAAGAAGGAAAGAAAGATTTGCAATGATTAATGTAATAGAAAATAAAATTATGTCTTTAAATAAAGATGATTTTGTGGTAGTGTCATATATTTTAAGTTAAAACAGCATAGACTCTATTGAAGAAGATAATTCTTATTATTGAAGAAAAAATAACTGAAGAAGACAATTTCATAACTAATTGAAGAAAACACAACAATCATTGGGACATTGATTTTGAAGAAATTGATACTGTATTCCTTATATCTTTGAAACTCTTTCTATTTCCTGAGGGATACTTATGTGGATTTAGTATACCTTATCTTGCTTGCGATTGTTTTGTTACAAATACATATGCTATGAAACAACAAATGATTTTTATGTTACAAAAAATTAATTTTTCCTAAGTGAAATATCTTTTTTGTCCCTTTCATTAATGTCCTTTAATCTTATATCGTTATTATGCTCAAACAATAAGTTCTGCTAGTTCTATAGAAGTCTTATCCAAATATGTTTTTTGTCTTAAAACATTATATATAAAAATCATATTACTAGAAATATTTTCTCTAAACGAAACTAGACAAGTATTACTTCTAACAATACTAAATATTTTTTTAATTTCTTTTAAAAATCAGATGAAAAATAAGATATAAAATATTCCTTTTGACTTAAAAATGTATTATGTTTTGGCTTACTGTCAATCCTCTTAGACCTCAATAAATTCATTTCATCACACATGGAATTTAATTAGATCATGTGGACAGAATGAACATGATTAGATTTCTGAGAATGGTGGAGCCAATAATGGATGGTGTGGGATTCAGAGAGAATTGAAGAATTAGGAGGTTATCAAGGCAAGTTTTCATGAATTTCTTGGTTACAATCCAGAAGTGGATGTTGATTAGAACTTACAAACTTACTATTAAAAAGTATCCATTACTTTAGTAATTCTGAGCCATCGGTGCTGATTTCTACTTACCTTTAAAACAACTTTCCCCACCAAATCCAGATTGGGAAAAGACAAAAAACAAAAAAGTGGTCGCATCCTAGACTGTTAGGCATGAAGGTACTTATGTGAAATTTCTATCTTGGCAGTATTAGAGAGTAAGTAGAGGAAGAAGATAAAGTAAAGAAGAAAATTTCTCAATTAAAATTGCAATTAACAGTGTTTAGTTTGCCCAAAAGTGATATATAGAATAATTAGTATGGGGTTAACTACTAGCAAATTAATAGTGGGTAGTCGTAGAGTGTGACATGCAACTATAACATATTGGAAGTAACCATATACGATCAGTTTGTTACATAAATTACAAACCAGTTTCTAATGATCAGAAACCATTTTCAGAAACCATATATTCATTTTCTATAAAATTCATATACCTTAATTCATCATTCTTTAGTAAGCGATTGGAATAGGTACTTAAATTTCATGATTATATTTCAGGCGAGAGCAGTACAGGACTGCTGGAGGTGGCTTTTGTAAGATGTGCTATAAAGTATTAGCCATTGTGATATTCACCCTGATCCTTCTTCAGTATTTGTACACAAGCTTACCTCGAGCACCGACTTTTATTTCTGATATACCATACAATTCGACTAGACATGAACCTCTTTTCTTGCCTTCAGTATCTGAAGCATCACCTGAGGATGTTAAAAATCTTTCAGCATGGATGTATTTTCAGGTAACTTTATTATATTAAATCTGATACTAAAAAAGTGTGAAAGTAATAATTTAATATTCTTGATATTGCTTTTAGATTTTTTTCCTATTAAGAGATAAGACCTCCTAAAGAATTTGAATATATAAATTAAATTAAGCTTTAATAAATCTATAAAGACATTTGTAAAACCTTATAGTCTGTAGTACAGACCCCTTTTTATCATATTATTAGCGTCCACCTGAAACTTCATGAATAGCTTCATCTCATCTTAACCTATGATTATTTCATTAAAGAAAAGTTTTGGAATTGGAGCATTTTCAATCTGGAGGTCAGCAAACTTTTTATATTTAATAAATTCCTAAAAACTCATATTTACCAAATTGCTTTTCACTTGGATCGTAAGATAATTTGAATATAAAATTGAGAAAAGAAGGTAGCCTACAAAAATATTGGGCCGTTTGGCATATATAACCTCGTTATTTTGACATTTTGTGGGTGTAGCTCATGCCAAACGGCTCAATATTTTTGAAGGCCTCCTTTTTTCTTGAGTTGTGCTCAAATTATCTTACGATCCAAGTGGAAAGCAAATGGGTATATACGAGTTTTTAGTATAATTAAATAGACAAAGTTTGAGGAACTCCAGACTGAAATTGCCCCAATTCTCAGAATCTTCGTAAATAAAATATTTGTAGGTTACAATGAAATGAAGCTATTTACAAAGTTTTAGACTGATGTTAATAATTTCATAAAAAGGGGTCTGTACCACGGACTATTATTTAATTCTTCCACTATCATTTCAGGGCATTAGCCATCGCAAGCTGTTGTTTGTTGTGTCTAGTTTAGTCGTGGTAAAAGTAAAGTTATAATTTACTTCAATCTTTTGTCACATTCTGTATAATTCTTTTGAAAAAAAAGTATTCATCTTATTAACAGAATATTTTTATTCTGATATATAAAAGTTTGTGGTGCTCAGTTAGTATTTTGCGATGATAAATCAGTGTTCGAGCTATCTATTATTTTTTAAATAAATATAAAGTAAGCAAGCAAGTCCTGTCAATTATACTAATCATTTTTATTTTGAATCACCAATATAAAGAAACTGTACTTAATTTATAAAATTAGTTTTATGGGCCTCAAAACCAATTTTACTAGTTCTATTTGATCTTTCTTATGTTTCTGAAAATCATACTTTTAAAATTTTCAATTTTATTTAATGGAATTTAAACACTAGCAGTTTAAATTTGTATAGAAACAAATTAACATAAACTTTTGTTTCAGATAACACCAGCAAGTACGGGAGAAACCTTGCCACTCTGTCCTTTGATACCACCGGATCTTTGTGAGTTAAAGATGTACATCTTAAATATTGAAAATTCAAATCATATCAAGGCTCATATCATTTAGTAACCACTTTATAGTTAAAGGGCAGGATAAATATGTATCCATGTTGTTTTCAACACATCACAGTTATTTTAAAAATATGATACATTGAACTGCTACTTGATTTAAATTCTGATTACATTTACTAACCAGCCTTGAAAAATGTCAAGTGAGGTTAGTTACTTGCTACTTATAGGTTTAAGCTTGACCTAAATAACTGTGATTGTATACTTGATCTATTACGTTTGTTTTGTATTTTAAGTTATTATGTTTTCGAAGGAATTTCTGTCAAATAATTAACTTAAGATTGCTTTAATTGAGAGTGGAAAGATTTAACGTGTTCGTAGAACTCCTAATTACACATAAGAATGTATTAGTTTTGTTTTCCTCCTCTTCCTTGCTTTATCGGCTATTTGGATTTTTTTCCATTGGCGTAGGGGAGTGGCGAACTCATTACTCAACAGTGAAACTGCAGTTAGCCATTGACTCTCCAATTTGGGGGAACACTTACACTGACGCTCACACAGTGCACTACACACATCCCCACGTAATAGACTAAGGTCATAAAACTTGCACCTCCTAGGAAAACCTTTCCGAAGAGGATGCAAGTATTGCACAAGTAGTGCAGGCACTGAGATGACAGCTCCACCAGCATACTAGGAGCTAGAGTAGTTACCCAGCATATTATCATGAAGAGAGTTTTGATTGCCTAAAATAAAAAAAATCCCATTACAACCCATGAAGGGTCTTGGATTCAGTACTATTTAGGGAATACACTGTTTCTTGGTCAAGGTTGTGCATGGAGGTGATTTGACCGAGATCACTCTCAACCGCCAGGTTTTCCTCCTTAATGAATTTCATATGAGCATCTGGACCGATGAAATATTATCTGATAACAGGAGAATAACAGTGATCTGTCCTATCTTTAAAAAGCAAGATTTGTTTAGATGCACTAACTATAGAGAAATATCACTGCTTCCATGTGCACTTAAAATACTTTTGAACATATTATTTTGCCGGCTTCTCCCAATTGTTGAATGGGAGACTGGTCATTCATTACCAATTTGGACTCTGGCAGGGCAGATCTACTACAGACCAAATTTTGTGCCTCCGAACTGCACTGGAGAGAGAAAGAGAATATGTGCCCTCACATCATCTCCTCATTGACTTCAAGTTGGCATTTTTTATAGCACACTGAAAACAGCTAAAAACAGCTTTATAAAACATTATACGACCTGTCAGTTCCACCAAAGCTCAAATGAGGTTGACAATGAAGAATGTAGAATGTGGTTGAAGGTCATTGGAGTTTTCATCCAGGAGAGTGGTAAGGCAAGGGGATGCCCTGGCATGCCTACTTTTTAGTATAGCACTTGAAAAAACAATAAAAGGACTCTCAGATTCAAACTTCAGGTATTGTGTGAAACAAATCAGTATATAGATATTGTGGGAAGATCCAAGCATGCGGTAGTTGAGACATTGCTTGCTCTGAAAGCTGCTGCTAGGTGGATCATTGGACTTATTTTCAATGAAGCTAAAACCAAACACTTGACACGAATGTTTCTTTTGGTTCCAACAAGTTTGAGGTGGTCCCAGAGTTTGTCTTCCTGAGATCAATGGTAACCTGCAACAATGATCTACAACCTTCTAGATCCAGAAATCAGAGAGAAAGCTCTTTCCCTTTCTCTAAGACCTCAATAATCATTGAGGCATGACTCTGCTCAGTCTGCCAAGCAAATTCTACATGGGAATCCTAGAACAATAGATAAAAAGAGTGGCCGACTGCCAGATCAGAGAGAAGCAGAATGGATTCAGAAATTCAAGGAGACATAGGAACTCATTTTCACTTTGCCCCAAAGTGAAAATGAGTTCCTATGTCTCCTTGAATTTCTGAATCCATTCTGCTTCTCTCTGATCTGGCAGTCGGCCACTCTTTTTATCTATTGTTCTAGGATTCCCATGTAGAATTTGCCTGGCAGACTGAGCAGAGTCATGCCTCAATGATTATTACATTCCTTATTGTTTTCTTTCTAGTAAATATACACAATCTCGTAGTCTTTTGGTATTTTTTTTTTATGCCATATCAGGTTTAAGAGATGAAGAAACATTTCTTCACCTTTGCTGCCCATGTACAACATCGGCTCGGGAGTTATTTCATCCAACCCTGCAGACTTGCCAAGCTTCATCTTTGAGATTGCTTCCTTCAGTTCTTCTTCGCTAATAAAATCATCTTCCAAATATTCTACCTCTGTATTGTGGGCCTCATCCAGACTAACGTTACTCTCTTCCAGCAGCTTCTTGAAGTATTCCCTCCATCTTTTCATTATAAATCCTTCTTTCTTTATTCTTGATTCCTTTGAGGGAATTCGGTTTTTCCTTTGTAGAAGATTTTATGGTTCTCCTTTGCATTTTTCTCTATTTTGTTACCAAAATCTTCCCATGATTTTTTTTTTCACTTGAAGAACTTATCTTGGCATTCTTCCGTTTTTTCTTGTACTTCTCATAGGCTGCAGGTGTTCCGATATTACTTACAAAATATCTACAAATATACATAAATACATTTCAGTACATATATTTGTTTGTAAACAATTTGTGAGTAGTATCATAGATTAAGAAAGAAAAAAAAATTGTCAGTTTTAACAACCTCATGAATTCACCAAGTGTGGAGGTTTTTATTGTATTTTATGATTTATTCCTCCTTAGTCATGAATGTTATTTTAAATGACTAGTGCCAAACTACTAAATAATGAATTAAATTGTGATTGAATTTATAATAGATGTAGTTTATAGTTGAAATCATTGTGTTTGGTATCACACAATTAATTTTCAAACTGATTTTTTTTTTCTTGCCTGTCAATGTTTTCAAATACTATTATTATCACATTTAATTATCAAGAAACTCATTAATATTAAGATACAATTATTTTTTTTTTATTTTGTATTTTAATATGTTTGTGTAATTCTTAATTCTTTTTAGTGGGTCACCTGGGAGAAGTACCTGCTTCAAAGCCTCCTCCCGAGCCACATGTGCTTCCAGGAGGACAGTGGCGGCCTGAGCACTGCCGATCAAGAGATCGAGTGGCCCTTGTCGTACCTTATAGGGATAGAAAGCAGATCCTTATGACTTTTCTTGCCCATATGCACCCATTTCTCCAGCGTCAGCTTCTGGATTATGGGCTTTTTGTCATTGAACAGGCTGGTGAGAGGCTTACAGATTTAAAAAAATTCTTTCTGGTGATTCTTTTATAGTTGATTAGTCATTTAGGCAACTTTTTATTTAATGAAGTAATAGGTTTCCAATTTGTACAGATACATGCTATATTTTAAGTTGTTCACTCAGGGAAATTAGTAAAGAAACAAATAAAGCATTGTTTGATTAATGATTAAATTATATTGCTTTATTTTTTTTATTAATAATTATATGTATTTTTGTGAAGATTTTTATTTCTTGGAAATATTAAAGTTTTTTCAATATATATATATATATATATATATATATATATATATATATATATATATATATATATTTCCATATAGAATATGTTTAGATATTATACACATAGAAATATGTGTAATATATATATATATAATGTATGTGTTTTTGTGTTTTTTATAATGTATATGAATGTGTTTTTTATTATTACAAATTTTTTTTTTTACAACATAAATATTTATGTTAGTAAAATTAAATATTAAATATTTTTTAAGCTTCAGATTTGCTAACGAAACAAAAATTTACATATTATTTGTTTAGTAAAAACATTTATTTATAAAACAAAAGGAAAATTTAGATTAAAGATATAAAATAATTTGTAATTGTGGGTAAATGGTGGACTGTCGTGAATAATGAAGAGAAGAATAGTTGGGGGTGATCATTCAAATAAGAAGGCAAAAATAAATTATAATATTTATTTTGACATTTGCCGACGTTTCGACCTGAAGTTCAGGCCATCATCAGGGCTGACTGCAAATATGTAAATCGAAGCAATGGCTTCTTACCCAGTCACAAATCCTATCCAAGTTTTCTTAAAGTTTTTCTGTGGCTGATAATAAATGGGAGGGCGGGAAGGGCAGGTATATGTGGAAATCATCTGCATAGATGTGGTATTGGGAGTGATGAATCAGGATGGAAAGGTCATTAATGTAAGTAGCAAACAGAGTAGGAGATAGAGAGGAACTTTGAGGGACACCACAGGAGAAGGGAAGGGTCATAGATGGAGGTTGACCGGGGACAAATACATACTGGGACCGATTTGAAAGGAAGGATTTGAAACAACATAGGTTACTGTTGGATAGAGGAAGGTTGTGCAATTTAAAAACAGAATGTTATGGTCAACCGCTTTGGAAAAATCTAAGATGAGCATAGTAAGGTTTTGGTGTTCAATGGAGTTTTGGAGGTCATAGATTATTTTAAGGAGAGCGGATGGTGTTGAGTAGCCAGGTCGAAAGCCAGATTGGAATGGGTTGATAAGGGAACATTCCTCTAGGAAGTTGGAGAGTTGATTTTAGACAAGGCGTTCTAATGGCTTTGAAAGGTTGGATAGGAGAGAAATAAGACGGAAATCGTGCAGTGAGGTAGGGTTTGAAATTTTATTCAAAGGTCGGACTAGAACAGTTTTCCAGGTGGATGGGAATATGGAGTTTTGCAATGAAAAGTATATGACAATAATTCTTCTGAAATCTGTTGTAGGTACTGATGATTTTAACCGAGCCATGCTGATGAATATTGGTTTTGTGGAAGCTCTTGGTATGAGGGAATTTGACTGTTTCATTTTTCATGATGTCGACTTGCTGCCAGAAGATGATAGGAACTTATACACCTGCCCAAACCAGCCAAGGCATATGTCAGTAGCAGTTAACGTCCATAACTATAGGTAAGATTGATTTTTGTGTTAAACCTGATTTTGAATTAATTATTTCCACTCAGTTTTATCATAGTTTTACATAATTTATAAATAGTAAGTAGTAAGCCTATTGAGTAAATAAATTTATTAACTTATCTTCTCAAGTATTTAATTTGATAAAACTGCTTAGAAAAAAAAGTCTAAAATAATCTTTGGAAAAACAATTAAATAAATGCAAAATACCTTTTTTTTATTAAGAAATTTTCCACTACTGTGGTTTTCCTTGATCTAAATATCTTTTAAATTATTTTTGTATTGTTGATCTGAGGCTTTTCCCTGATGTTCTTCCTCTCTTTGGTAATCTTTCTGGAGACATCCTTTTAATATATCTAAACCATTGTAGTATTTTTTCTTCAATATTTTGCAAGAATGTTATTTTTTACCTTAATTGGTTCCTGAATTCCTTCCATTTTTAACTATTTTCCTTCTGAATTTTCTCTTTACCATTCTCCAAAAGTCCATTTCTACCGTTAGCAGTCTTTTCTGGTATCTTACATAGATGACCCATGCCTCTGAGGGGTATGTTCGAATATAGATTTGTATATTAGCCTTTTTGTGCTGGGATGTATATTCGAGCTCCAAAGGACACCATTGATTAATGCAGTGTCTTTTCTTCCTCCAACAACTCTCTATTTGATATTACTGGTGGAGGTGCATACACTTTTAAAGATTGACTCAGATATTTGAATTTATCCACTGTTACAATACCTCTTTCAGTTGGCATGTTATCTGATCAAGTGCTAAGATGCTGTTTTCTTAAGTATGGATACAAATTTATGAATTAATTCAAAATTAATATTATAAAAATCAAGCACTATTTGAACTTTTTCCTTTTTTAGTTTTCTTCTTCTTTGCTTAGATCAACAGACACATATAGCAGCTTTTTTAATCTCTGCCTTCCACTTCTCTCTATCCATTACATGGACTTTTCATCTTCAACTGCTGTATGTCTTGGAATACACTGTCTCTCCAGCTGCCCTTGGGTCTCCCTCTACTTCTCTTTCCATCTGGTGTACTGTTATGAAGTATTTTTGGCAACCTGTTTTTGTCCATTCTCATTAAATGACCAAACCACTTCAACCTTTGAATTCTGATACTGGCTGAGATCTTACTATATATTGGTAGGTCATTACTATGTGTACAGCAGTTGCCGGCAGTTCAGCTAGAAATCTCCAGGATCCCTGCTGCGCCAGTGTACCCCTTTTCTCTTATAGCCAAACACCATAGCATCTTTGAGCAGGACAAGTTCAAGAGGCACCCCTCCTGCCTCGTGTAATATAGTCCTGTAGGTTTAGTTATCCACAGTAGAGCTATTCTCTTTATAGTCGCCAACTTGTTCTTCTGTTTTTGTGAGAGGTTACAATGTCCACCCATACCTCAGAATAACCTGCATAATTCCTTTATAGATTTTCATGGTCACCGAGTTTTCGGCCCCAATCTTATTTAAATATAGGTGATCCTAATTCATAAAAAATTAATCACATTAAAATAGCAAATGAAAACTTACAAATAGTAACTTATGCTTAATTTTATAATGATAAATTTAGTGACATTTAAAACTTTCTGATACTTTTCCGAATGATATAATATTTCTTAGTGAATGAACAATAAATATGAATTTTTAAATTTGTTTTATTTTTCAGACTGCCTTATCCCGATATATTTGGTGGAGTTTCAGCAATGACAAGAGCTCATTTTGAAGCTGTTAATGGGTTTTCAAATGTCTTCTGGGGGTGGGGTGGAGAAGATGATGATATGGCTGCCAGAATCAAGGCAGCTGGTCTTGAAATCACTCGGTACCCTAAAACTATTGCCCGGTACACTATGTTGCCTCATGTCAAACAAAAAGCTAATCCCCGCCGGTAAAGATTTCATAATTTTGTTTATATAAATATACAAATAATTCTTAAATTTATTTATGTGAAATACAAACTTACTTTGGTATCTCTACATTAATTGAATTTATATATATATATATATATATATAATATATATATATATATATATATATATATATATAAAACAAGCTAATTAAATATGTTATTATTATTTTGCAGATTTCAGCAGCTGTATAGTGGTGCGAAGCGGAGAAAGACAGATGGTCTAAATAGTTTACAGTATAGAAGATTAGAACTGAGGCTAACAAAGCTGTTCACTTGGGTCTTGGTTGAACTTAGCAGGCCGCCTTCATAACACAGGTTCTTTGGCTGGCCCACGTTGTTTGTGGACCAGAGTTACTCAGGGTTCGTCTAAATGCTGCTAGCTACTTGTTGTTGTTTTATAATTGACTTGATCATGATTCATATTACTTGTATAAATGAGATTTGTGATATATTATCTAGTCTGTGATTATTGATTAGTTGTGATTTAGTATTACTGGTTCTTTTTAGTGTGGTTTTACTGAAAGCTGCCCTGATTATAATATTCTCGTCTATTAATTTGTTTACTTTTTTGACACTACTTTTACTGTTTCACCTATTAGATTCACCAAAATTTTTTTGAAACTTTAATATTTGACTATTTTTAAATTAAATTTTAATTTTTAAATATGTACATATATAAATAATAAATTTCATTGAACACACATACATAACCATATGATTATCTTAAAACCTATCCATTATCAGGACAGCATTTAGTAATAGTGTGTAAATATTTTAAAAGAGAATTCTCATTTCTGTAATAAAATAGTTATCATTATGCTCAGTGATCATATTTTTCAACATGAGTAAGAAAATCATGTATTTAATTGTAGATACATCCTTAATAACATTAACTTCTGAGATAGTGATATGTTGTGTCTAATGTTTAACACTCTTACATAGTTTCTTACAGCAAAGCTTTTGAGATCTGAATTTTTTTTTTTTTCCAACCTCATATTATTACCTCTCACCTCGACACATAGCAGAGGAATGGGATAGATCTTAGCTGTACTGTGCAATTTTATTAATCAATTTCATTAAAGATTACACAAGGACATTACAAAACAAATGAAATAGTTGAACCTCTAGAAACTTTAATTTTCAGTAAAGAGCAAAATTTATAGAATATATTCATAGAAAATAATAGGAAATATTAATATATTAGTGAAAATTTTTTAAGATTATATATGGAATATATAACCATATAATGGAATATATTATATGATTTAGCAGGTACAGTGCTAATGCACTCATTTATCTCCAGGAGGTAAATTATTGCTGAATCCAATTAGAAAAGGTGAATGTGATGAAAATATTTTCAAGCTCAGAACTGAACAGGATATTTAAATAGAAAAAAAAAAAAAAAAAAAAGAGATTAGGATTGCAAACAGTTTAAATCACAAAAACTTTCTATTAGAGAAATTAATGGTTGAAACTTTGCTCTGAATGTTTTACATCAGATTTCAGATCCAACAATAATATCATTAAAGACAAACTGATAAGATAATAACATTAATTAAAAATCCATTCATTAGCTCTGTTGGCTCCTTTAAAAAATGTTTAATACCAAATAATGACATTTATAAAACCATCTCTATGTGGTAATTAGATTACCTTTTTATTAGATGTTGTATGTATAAATATTTAGAAAGTTTCCTACTTTATGTCCTTCTTAATATTATTATTTTACCTTAGCATAATATTTCTTCTTATATCTCTGCTACCATGAAGATTCAAGGCTGCTTGAAGTCAAGTCTACCATTCATCTCAGTTCTGTACAGCCACTCTCCAGTCCCGAATTTCCGGAATGGTTACTCCGTCCACCCATTGTAACTTGGGCCACCTTCACCTGGTGAAGTGGATTTCTTCTTTTAGGGGCCTTCTTGATACTAAGTCAGGACTCATCCTGGCTACATGTTCAGGCCACTTGAATTATCAACTACATCACAGTAGTTGTGCAGCTTTGAGATCTTAGCACTGTTCCTTATCCGCCAGCCTGATTCGGCTTCCAAAATCACCCTGAGAATTCTTTTCCGTATTTTTCTTTCAAATTGGAGGTGCTGATTTCCATGGGCCTTGGATAGCATCCAGCTCTCAGATCCATATGTAAGCACGTGTCTAATTAGTGTTTTGTACAGACGCTATATGATTTTGTGAGATAATATATTGTTTTTCACAAGTTGCATAAGCTCAAAATAACATTTGTCAGCTGTAACAATTCTTCTTTAAATCTCCTCTCCAACATCATTATTCTGAGTTATTCAGGAACTAATACCTTTACTCTCTCAAATGCATATCCATCCACTTTTAAATGGGAAAGAAGTATATCCCTCATGGGTTTGTCACCATGTGTTTTTTTTTTTTTATTGGTCGACTTCAAGCCTCATTTTTGCATCTGCATCACTGGTTCTCAAACACCTCTGCCATAGGTTTGAAATTTCTCCCAATGATATCAATATCACCAACAAGCCCAATATTTGAGCTGAATTATCGAGAATTGTTCTTCCCAATTGGGTACCTTAATCCCTTACCATGCCCTCCAGAACAAAATTAAAGGGTATGCAAGACTGTCACTCTACTATAGACCTCTATAAGTCTGAGAACTCACTGTTAATGCACACTGGACACCGCATTGCTTACTTTGTCTTCTGGATGAGTCTTACAAGCTTTGGTGGAACTTCCATATTAAACATGACTTTATAGAGTCCGTGCTCATTCACACTATTGTATGTAGCCTGAAAATCTATAAACGTGATGGATTTCGATATTGCATGCAAGCATGCATTCTTAGGCAGAGATGGGCAAATGCTACTCTGAGTACTGAGTACCAATACTAATCTTTTTTGAGTATCAAATAATTTAATTACTACTTTAGTTGATGTCAAACTGAATCAAGTAGTGAACTGAAGTAGTGATTGAATTCCCAATAGTGATTCAATTTGATTACAAATACTTGGTACTCGGTACTCAGTGTTGCATTTGCCCATCTCTATTCTCGGATTCATTCCAGCATTAGCCCAAAGAAGAACATTTGGTCTTTTATGCCCTTTCCTCTCATAAAATCATCCTGATATTTGCCTATCTCTCTTTATGCATGATGCAGTAACCCGAAGAACGAAATTCTGGACAGCACCATGTAAGCACTAGACTGCAGTGAGGCACCCTGGTAGTTTCTGCATTATGGGATGATCTCTTTCTTGTGAATTGGGCAGATGATGGTCTTGTTCCAGTTTACTGAGATTCTCTCAATCTTCTAAACATTCATAATAATGTTGTGAAGAATCCTCCATAAAGCAATTCTGACATCAGCTTCCACAGTTATTTTATTTTTTGAGAATTCAACAGCTTCCTGAACCTAGTCAAAGTCTGGCAGCTCAAGATCCTTCACTGACTAATTCCTTCATTGTGGATTTGTAACCTCCCAATCTTGATCCTTCGCTAGGTTGATCCAACAAAATTTATTATCCATAACATCAGCTTAACAGGTTCGAATATCAGGGTCCTTTAATCCCTCAACGTTGAGTTTTGGTTGTTGTTTGCTTCTCTAGGATCGAATCATCGACAGCCTAGTTTTTTATTTTTGTCACAACAAGATAATAGTCCAGATCCACATTGGCTCCTCTATAAGTTCTTACATCTGAAAGGCCTGATACATGCCTTGTGCTGATGAGTACATGATGGATTTAGTTAACAATTATCTCAACATTAAATCTCCAAGCAGCTATTCAAATGCGTTTATGGAGAAACAATGTGCAGCCAGTGACCAATCCCTTAGATACTGCCAGGTTGATAAGCTTCTTCCCATTTTTGTTTGACTCTTTATGAAGGATGTGTTTTCCTAAGGTGGTTCAAAAGATGGGTTTGTTCCCGATTTATGCTACAATTCTACAATTACTATTTTTATATCAGTGCATGGGCATCGGTCAAGGTATTTTTCCACACCACTAAAAATGAATTCTATTTCTCTTCCTCAGAAAGTCATGCTATTATTCTTCAATATCAATATACATAATTGAATGTTATCTTTAAACATTTTGTTTCATTTGGAAGGAGAATATCATTTAGTATATTTTACTTGATTTTCTATATTACTAAATTTGATTTCACTACAAAACACCAGAAAAATGATAATTTTTTCATTTTAAAATTAATCATTATTACTACGTTAAAGACTATTATATTTTTTTAACGTTTTAATTAATAAAACGAGTTATCTTTTTATTTTTTTTTTTTTTGTTGAGTCCTCCCCTTCCTCGCCTTTAAGGCTATACGGGGTTTTACCGGGCCAGGGGTTGTGGATGGGGATTTACAAGACTCCCCCGGCACCGGGACTGTTTTTAATCCATTGTCTCATAGATCAGGTTGTCACTATCACGGTGCTGCTGTGCACACACGTTAGCCCGTTTCGCCACTCCCCCTACAATGTTAATGTTGAGAGCTTGAACCATATCAGTTTTGGCTTGATAGAGCACAAAGTAAGTTTTGATTTAAATGGACTACTTATGATTTCTTAAATTCCAGTTGTTAATATTTTAATGTTATTTGTATTCACTTTTTTTAAGTTTAGATACATTCGCTATGAATTGTTAGAAAACATACATTACTGTTTTAAATGTAATAAATCAAAAGGTAAGACATTTTAATATTGGGTTGGCAAATAAGTCCTTTCGTTTTTTTTTTTGTTTTTTTCACTCAATGTATTATAGACATAAGATTTATTTTAATCTACAATATATTGACCATTATTTACTATGACTTTTTCCTATCTTTCCACTAACTGCATAAAACCATGTTCATAGAATGTCTGGAGTTTATTGTTAAAAAACTAATCCAAGTGGTTTTTGATGTCCTCTTCCTTTTGGAATTTCTTTCCATTCATGGAGTTCTACAGAGAGTGGAAGTGGTAGTCACTTGGAGCTAGGTCCGGTAAATAGCAAGGGTGGGACAAAAGGTTCCATCCAAGATTCAATAAATTTATTGCGAGTGACCAATGAGGTGTGGGACCTAGCGTTGTCTTGGTGGAACACAACATCATTCTGATTATTCATAACTCTTCAGGATGTTCTCCAAATTCGATGTTACTATATCCGTTGGATTGCTGAATTGTTACTCTTCAAAGCCGTTTGAATGGGTTTTTGATTTAATGCCTACATAAGGAATAAATAAACAAAAACTCCTTATAGGTTTTTATTTTTTATCTCCATTTGTAGTTAGTTTACGAAGGTCCTGTTGATGTCATTTTGTGTAGTTTATGTGGCCCTAAATTCTTGC